AGGAGGGCCCCCAAAAAGAAGGGCCATGCACACCCCAACCAGATAGCTTAGTGTCAATTCTGAACCAATATTATGTGTAGGCTGGTGCCACTTCTACCAACATCTGGGAAAAAAAAACATCAAGTTGTAGCAGCCAATCCGGTGTTATCAACAGGATCTGACAATGGTTTGGAACAAATCATATTTAGTACCCTGGGTAACATATAAAGTCGAGAGAAGGCCTAGAGTTGTAATCCCATCCTGTCCTGATGAAATGGATCCATTGCCAAAGCCCAAAGGTGAGTTACAGGAGACCAAATTGCCAGTAGTTGGGTGATCCAATGAGAGGCCAACTATCAATCAGAGTTGCAAAATTAGAGCCAATCCAACAGAACCTTGTGATGCAGCATCTATTCTGTTGGGAGAATCATTTTGGATTGAAACAATGGATCTGCTACCACAGGCATCACCCGTGGAACATGGCAAGCTAGTGCAGTGATAAGATAGGAATGGTCCCGTGAAAGGTGGTCCAAAATTTGGAAAAATGAGCCCTGGACCAAACATCTTCTCACAAGACACCACCATAGAAATGTCAGAGTGAAGTCTCAAAATTCTCTCCTTAATAAGCCCAAACCATGAGGCATTGCCTGTTGAAAAGCAAGTAGGACTAAAACATTGTGTAGGGAAGCCTCTTCATCCATGAATAGATCCTGGAATTCCTGACTGTTGGTATATGCACCCCATCTCTGAAGAAAGACATTCGTGAAGAGATGAAACTCTTTAGGTGGTGGTGGTGGATGAACCCATATCATAGTAGTGTCCCAACTTAACCCCTGGAGATTGAAGAATAATCCTGACTAAGGAAACTGGGGAATCCAGTGAATCAATGTTTATGACCTCTTGGTTGCATAAAGACCATTAAAAGGATCTCTTGTGCTCTCATCTCAAAGGCATGAGGCGAGTGCTTCCCACATTCTCAAAAGAGGAAGAACCATCCATGCAGTGGGAGATGGAGAGGTGAGTAATAATTGGGCAACCTATTCAATAGTGTTGAGCCAGATGGGAAACAGCTGAGCCCAACTGAGAGAAGAGATGAAAAATAAAAATACTCAGACTGACAACATATGGAATTGGAGCAAGAATAGAAGTCTCAGCTCTGAAAATGAAGCCTGCCTTGGTGTTCCTGACAGTAGAATCAGGATTTGATTGTCAGACAATTGATGAGATGATGTCAGCAGTAACCAGTCATCCATGAAATGGTGTGTGCACAGTTTGATTGAATGGACGTAATGAGAAAAAAAAACTCATATGATACAGCAGAATCCTTCGGAAGCCGATGCAAGTCCGAAGATAAAAACCTAGAGCTGCAGTACCTGACCCTTATGCACAACATAAGTGTAAGAATCAACAATATATGTGTGTATATAAACACTGGTGTATCCCTTATATTGTTGCGTAAGCTGAACTTTTGAGGAACTCTCCTTATGCCTATAAATATAACCAATGCACCGTGGAGCATGGAATATATTGATGATAACTGTAATATTCCACCCATGATACAGGAATTAAGTTTCAGGTGAAGAGCATTCCTGTTCTGGCTGTAGTGCAGTTCCTCCACTAGAGTGCCAATCTTCTATTGACACACTCATGATCTATGAAGAAGCTTTCTGTATGAATAATGCCCTCACCTCTCCACATTATCAATGTGGGATTCTAACTATAAGTGTCAGCAGAAGTATGTATGTATTGGAAGTTAACATTTTCCTAAATGGAAAACATATTTTTAATAAAACTTACCTCTGCCGACACTCTCCCGTTCTTCCTCCCCACTAAGAGCCAGTGTTAGAGACTGGTATTGAGTCAGTCTCGAAAAAGTGATAACATTATCTGAATGATGTACTTATATACACTACCAGAATAGAGGGTGCATTGACGTAGGAAGAGAGTGTCATGAGATAAATATTGTCAAGGACAATTGAGTGGGGGTATAAAAAATTGGAGCATGCAAGAAAAAAAAATTAAAAAACAGACCAATGCTTAGATGGGAAAAGGAAGAAACCCTGGCAGTCGAATAATATCTATAAGAGGAAGTGGAGGTAAATATGTTTTGGAATAATAACGAATGTGCTAACCAACTAAAATTACCTAGAAAACACATTAATCCTTTCCTCCTGGGTATCCTTTACTATGCATAACAGAAAGTTTTAGTGTTTTACATTCCAAATTTATTAAACTACTTTCTGTTTATGTTATATCTATTAGTATAGCATAAAATCTTAGCTAATAATCATTATTTTAATAGTATATAAGTTCCTAATTATACAATGCACTATTAAAGAACATCCTTAATTTCCCTTAATGTGACACTTGTAATATATTTTCTCTAGACATCTTGTCTTCTCTATTTTATCCACCACCCCTTGAAAAAGTAAGAATGTAAACATAAAATTACTCTATAGAAGCATCATTGGTCAAACAAACTATAATTGTTACAGAGCTATTGAATAGAAAATCAGACCCCTCCTACCACACCCACCTGTCACATCCTCTCTTTCAGGATTTTTTAATAGTTCTCTCTTATGTTTAATTATACATTACCTATAACCATAGAAAGTAAAGGTTTTCGTCTATCAAATGACGTATCATATAACATTGTGTTCTGAACAGATAATAGTCAATTTCACTCAGAGTACAAGCAACAAACGTATGAAAAACTTAATGACTAGCTTGGATGAATTTGTAAGGCTCCTGTTGCATAGTTAGAAAGCCAGAAAAATTTTGAAAGCTAGGGGAAATTGTTATTAGTCTATGTTCTTTGGTGCATTATTTAGTTAAATAAAAATTATTTAATGCCATTAGTATAAAACAGTAGGCTTAGATATCCTCAACAATTGACAGCAAAAAAAAGGAAGATTGTGTAAGTACTTTATTTCTTGTTTTCCATGTTTATTCTTTATTATAAAAGTAACTAAATGTAAAAATATGGATCTTTTTAGGTTAGTAAAGATTAGATTAGGTAAAACAAATAATAATAATATAATAAAAATGTTTCACAAGGCATGCATGCTAGTAACACATAGGTAATGTAATTCAATAGTGTAACGTGAGCTGCATGTGCCCTGAGTGACTTGCAACTAAACATAGTTAGACACAATTCAAAGGGCAATCAAAATGGCAATAAAACTTAATTATAAATATATGTATACTGTTACGAGATTAAAGCTACTTAGAATAAACGAATGTAATTTCATGTTATAATTTGAAGTCATTTTAGAAAGAAAATAAGGTAATTTAGGTGTATTTCAACTTCTTTTTGGTGGTTACAAGGTCGGTCAAATCAACCAATCCCATTTTGAGATAGGGTAAAAAAATAACAGATAAAAGATAAAGTTTTACGGAAAAGAATGTTTGAAATGTATTTAGGAGGTTTTAGGGATTACACAAAGCAAATTTGATATTTTTGAGATGAGGAAAAGTATTTTTAATCTTAATATGAAAATTACTTTGCAGACAGACTATTCAAAACAAATACTCGGTATATTCATAGACAAATCTTTATTTTAGTTTATTAAAAATACTTCACTAAAAATATAATTTTTTGTAAGTGAAAGACTTGTAATGTTAACAGAAAGACTGCCAAATTTTGTGATGATATACACACTATATTGAAAGTTAGAAGTATTAAATCTATAAAGACTTTAAATGAGTACAAAGAGGTCATATGGTAGGTCAAATCGACTGACCCCGTGTTGAGAGAGTTAATAATCGATATCTAAAGTTACCAGTCATTGATTTAACTTAGATGACAAAGTACACAATTAAATCTTACATTGATGAAAAAAAATATTCAAATAGAACAATGAATCATATGTTACTAGTAGTAAAGATATGTAAAGTACAAACTATCAAAACATACCTAGTTAAAGTACTTATAAATATGAAATGGACAAACCATTTAAATGTACCTAGTCCACAAAGTATGTAGTAATAACAGACGTGCAGACCAACAAAAATAACTTAGAAAAAGACATTAATAATCAATATCTAACTAATTATTCCTCTAATTTAAGATAGACGACAAAAGACTATTAAGTCCTATACTGACAAAAATGGGTATAAGAAGGCACATAGTTAACAATGACAAGAAAAAAAAATACTCTAATAGAATAACGACCTAGATAATAGCAAGAGTTAGTAATATGTTAGAGAAAACAGAAAATAAAATATAAACATATACTTTAAAACAACTTATGATATTCATTTAGAAGGTTCTAGAAGCTATGCAAATGAAATTTGATAGCCTTAAAATGGAAAAATGTATTTCTATACTTCACAGTAAAATCACCTTGGACTCAAACAAAGTCTGAATGCAAACAACAACAATAAATAACAAATTTTATTGGAACTACTTTATAAAAATAATCTCATTCTTAGTATACAAAATATTTGTAATCTTTAACAAAATCTTATCAATTTTTATAATACATTAAGAAAGCTAAGAGATATATTCATTGGGTACTGCCCTGTCTCCATAGGGTTAACTGACATTCTATATTAAGACTATATACACAATACATAGAGAAATTTAGAAAAAATGCATATTAACTAAGAAGGTAACAAATACATGGTATGCCTGCATACCACAATAACTCAAACAGGTTTTGTACATTTCATCTTCTCTTTACAAAAAAGATCTTTCAGCCTGTAATTTAGCCAATCAAGAGAAAGATGCATATGTTTGTTAATCCAGTCCTAATCATGTGCAATGCTCACAACTAAATAAAACAATGAGAAGACACAGACCATCAAACAGAAAGTGAGCAACAAGGATGAAAATCTAAATATTGTAAATGCATATCTGATGGTGAGCTATTAAATTAAACTGAACAAGATATAAGACTTAGAACAAATAATAGTCAGAGTTCTAGTAGTTCAAAGCTTAATATAGATATGGTCGATAAAAATTTTGAATTTCTACTTTACAGTTACCAATACAAAAAAAAATGTTTATTCTACAGTACCAAACAAAGAATCCTATGTTCTCCTGATCCTGTTCCCTCACACTTATCTTCCTCTAGTTTATCCATAGTGATGACAAGTCCCTCTCCTGTTTTTAAAAAATAAACATTTATCATCTCCAAGCTGACTTTAGTTAGCTAATATAATGAGGTACATATAAAATTTTTACCAAGTTTGTCAATACTTACAAAAAATAATATGCCCATTTTATGGCATTTCAAATGTTAAGATTTTCCTATACTGAAAATTTATTTCCAATAGATACCTGCACATAATAGCTTTTTTTCAATTTAAGCTGTCCTCTATATGCCCAATTTTCACTCACCACTAGCCTTGATGCTCTGACCTACTCTCATGTGTTTACATGTGGTGTAGCTGTACTATAATGTGCAAATGAACATGCAACAACCCTACACCAATAAAATTGTGACACACCCTCCTAGTGCAACTGACTCCCTCTATAGTGTAGAGCAGTATCATCACTTTGAAAAAAAGATGCACCAGAACTGGGTGAGAAGTGTGAGAATAGGTACGTATCTATCAGAAATACATTTTCAGTGTAAGAAAATGTTAACTTCCAATAGAATACCTTACCTCATCTCACTTAATAATTAGAATTTCACATTGTAACAGTGGAGGGACCGGTGCAAAAGTTACCTAGATGAGCTTTCTTAAATGACTTCCATTCAGGGGCAGATTGGTCCAATGGGTTACCAGGCCATTACTTTGAGAAATTCTTGTTTAGCCAGCATGCAGCTTGTGAAGAATTATTGGGTTGCTGTTAGTGATGTTGCCCAGGCTGGTCCTTTAATGCAAATCTGCCACTACTTCCATTCCACCATCCAAGTCAGGGCACATATGTGCAGACCCAGTACACAACTAACACCAGGCCAACTTGGAACCCTATATCTGGGTAAGGGTAGAAAGGGGGGTTGCAATGTGATGGGCCAACTCCTATTCAAAACCAGGTGGCTTTGGGAATTTTTCATCCATTCTGCAGTAGGAGGAAGGCCCCTACCAACCAGGTGTGAGGACTTATGTTGGTTGGTCCTACATCAATTCAACAACAGACCACTTGGGAACCAAAATTCGGGCACCAGTAGGATAGGGGAAAGCCAGCTAGAGGGGTGAACTGCATGTGGTGAATTCATCCAGTCCAAAACCTGGTGGCATCAGGTATTTGTATTCTCATCCACAGTAGGAGGAGAGTACTCACCATCTACTCCAACAGAACACCACTGTCCTACACTTAACTGAGTGGAGTTTGTTACACTCAGTAGGAAGCCTCTATGGTTCACCACCCCAGTGGCTAAAAACTGGTAAGTGGCAAGGACTTCCGTACTCCACTAGAAGGGGGGGGGGGGACAACATGGTGAAGAGTCTGGAGAAATATAACACTGTAAGCCAGTGAAATGAGTGACCACAAAAACCATATTTTGAAAAGCAGGCTGGTTTCAATTTATTCAACTCAGATCAGAGGGATGGGCAACAGTCCCAACCTATTTATGAAGTGAGATACCACGAGGTAACTTCTAGCAGTCTTGTGGACTAGTGGAACATCCCATCTCTTCAGTGAGCATTATAGGCCTTTAAGGTTGTATGGTGTGGATTTAAAGTTAAGTATACTTGTACAGGTACCACTTGCTACAGAGGAGGCTCCTAAGTTGTATAAAGGACCACTGTTAAAATAAGACATGAGCAAGTAAAAACTTACCTACAAAGCTGATATTGGGTATGAAGAATGACGATAGGTAGGAAGTGATAGCCAGAGGAGGAGGAGACAGCCAAATGATGCAGGTAGTGAGCAATAATTATGTGAGGCATCATCTACATTTCAACCTGCATGATTTTTTTCTAATAGACGACTGACATTGGCAGCCAGGGAAAAGGTGAGATGATGCATCTGGTGGGAGACTAGGAAAATGCAATATGAGTTCTTGGATAATGATGAATAAGCTGGCAAGTCCATATGGAAAGTGTGATAGGTGAAAGATCATGGGAAGAGGAAGTATTCCATGGCATAAAAAGGTAGGAATAGGATTCACAGAAGGAAACAGTGGGGGTAAAATAACAACATAGAGCACATACTGGAGAAAGAAGATCTGGACCAGAATGGGAATATGAATGAAAGATGGAGGGAAAGGAAATAAGAATAATGGTGATGTCCCCTTCACGCACTGCTGATGTCTTGTTGAAAAATTTTGATCCAGATAAAGGAGAACATAGGCATGGTGATAGAGGACACAAGAGATATAGATAGCAAAGCTATCTGACCTATGATGTCCACATGCAAAGAGTTGTAAAAAATACATCTTCAGGAAGAAGTGGTACAATGAGCAAGTGGCCAAAGGTTCAAAAGGTAAGGACATAAAGGACCACACTGATAGTCCAATCAGGTAGGGGAATGAAATGGGGTGGATGCCTAAAGCAAAAGAAGTAATACAGAAGAGAAAGGACATGAGAGGAAAAAATGTGACAAAAGAGGGAGACACAAAAGGTATTAAGACAAGGCTGCCCTATAGCCTACAATGGTGGAAACTGATAAACAATTGTCAAAGAACCAAGACACTAGGTCATGAAGGTGAGCACAGATCAACTCCAGAAAATGCACCATTTCCTCTGGTAAATATCTAAATAAGAAGGTAGGAACAAGTGAGAAAAAAGGAAGACTACCCATGTAGAGAATCCGGATCATCTTTCAAGGGACCAGACAAAAAAAAATGTGTAATGAAGAGATGAAATATGGCAGACGGTTCACGGAGAAGAGAACAGGAAAGTTGAAGAGGTATTGAAGGGGACAACTGGAGGAGGTTTAGGATCAGAAATCACAGTTGAGCAGGCCAGAATTGGGCAATGAGAAGCATAAAGGTAAAGACTGGTCCAATATTGACTGGAGGCATCAACCACCAAAATCAAAGAATGTGGAACTGGAGACCAGAAGAGGGGCAGTTTGGTATTATAATTGGTGGCAAATGCATCCAGAAGAGGTGTACCAAATTGGAAGCATAACCACCAAAACGCTTGAGGAGCAAGAGACCACTCTGTAGATAGCATCTTGTCGGAATAAGATAACCAATCCACTACAAAATTCAGAGCACCCGGGACATGACAAGCAAAAAAGATAAATTTCCTGCAACTGGGCCCAGAAAAGGAGATCCAATATTTAAAAGCAAAGCGAACCAGAACAGGTGCCCCTTGTTGACTCATGCAAGAGATAACAGTCAAATTGTCAGAATGGATCATAACCAAATAGCCCCTTACTAAAGGTAGGAAATGATCTAAGGCCTGACAAACTGCAAGAAGATACAAAAGTTTGATGTGGAGGGAAGATTTGATCACCTTCTAATGACCTGGGAACTCCAGAGAGTCCAAACACAGCCCCACACTGAAAGAGAAGCATGTGTAAAAAGTGCAAACCAGGACATGGAGGAGGCAGAGAAACACCAGCTGAGGTGTTGTCTCTATCGAGGTACCAGGTAAAGTCGACTTGTAGGGAAGGAGGGAGAAGGATGGTAGAGTCCAGAGAATCCCGAACAAGGTTCCATTACCACTGATCATACAACACCTACTGAAGACAATATGTATGTGCACAACTCCACAGTATGAGGGCTTACATGGAAGCCTAGGCTCCCAAAATAGAGAGAACATCACACACAGATAGAAAAGAAAAGGAATTTGCTTTGGAAACCTAGAGCTCAATTAACCTCAAATAATGAGGAGAAGACTGGGCCCTGCTGAGGTAGGTGTCAAAATACACCTTCAAATGGATAAGATACTGCATGGGATGAGATAGGACTTCTCCAGCTTTATCAGCCATCCGATACAAGCTGCCTCCTATAGGAGGAAATGGGTATGATTGTGAGAGGCTTTTTGGGATGGAGCTGAAAGGAACCAGTCATCCATATAATGATGGAACTGCACACCCCAAGTGTTCTGACCATATGACAGAAGACGTAAGGAGCCGATGCCAGACCAAAAGGTAGAGCACAAAACTGAAACACCCAACTCCCGTGGGCAAACAGAAATAATTTCTGGATGCTGGAGAGATAATGATATGAAGGTAAGCATCTGCAACTTCTACTTTGATCATCCAAAGACCTGGAGTGATTGACCAATGAAGGGTGAGGAAAGACTCCATGCTGAACCACACAAGGATTATGAAGCAGTTGAAGTTAGAGAGATCGACAACAAGAGACCAATCCTCCGTTTTCTTGGGAACTAAGAAAAACAAGAACGAAACTCCAGAGAACTGGGAAATACTTGTTTGATAGAAGTATTGTGCAAAAGGTCATGAACCACCTCTGAGAGACATTGACATGAAATGGGATCCTGAGGAGGGGGAAAGGAAATGGGTTGTGAAGATAAAGGGGGGTAGCAAATCAAAGGGAGAGTCATTCTTTTAGAACCTGAAGACCCAGGGGTTTGCAGTGAACAGGCACCACAGGTTAACAAATCTGGCTAATCGTACCTACTCAGTACCAGAACCAACGGAGTAGTCACTGACAAAACTGGTGTCGGAAACAACAATAATGGGCAATTTGATGACTCGACACAGAATCCTGGGAAAGTGGTATCAGTAATGGGGAGAATGCAGGGGCAAGAGAGGTTTTGGAAAGATGAGAAACAGGGTAGAAAAGGGAGGAATGTTGACATGTAGCCTCTACCCAAGACTCCAAAGTTTCGGGAAGATCCCCCAAAACAGACTGCTGTGAAAAAATGTGCCAGGTGGAGGTCTTCCAAATAGAAAGCAGATAGATGCATGAGAGGCAAGAGGGTGTCCCTGCCAAGAAGATCCCAACAACAAAGGAGCCATGTATCAAGGGCTAAGACTGTGTGCCAATATGGAAAAGAGAAGGGTATGTGTAGCTGCCAAAAACACCTCAAGGGAACAGTGGATAGCCTTGGAATGGGAGTGGATGGAAGAGAAATAATAGAGGACAGTGGTGAGACGAAGACAGAAAAACTGAGCTGGAGAAAATTGTAGTGTAGTCTCAGGGTCGGAATCCCACACCTGAATCAGAAATCCCAAAGTCTGAGAATCTAAAAAATGGAAATTCTGACCTAAGATAAGGCAAAGCATAGGTGTCAGACAAATGTGGGGGTCCAGGCATGCTGGAAACGAACATAACTGGGCAAGGAACTGTTCAGTATATAAATGAATATCAGGAGAAAGAGGAAACCAAATAATTTGATGATGGTTCAGAATGAAGGATGGAGGGGGAGAAATAATAAGACACAGGGATAAGAGACAATAGGTAACATACCTAGGAAATCATGTCCAAAAAAAGCTGAAGAAGAACAATGGAAATTTAGAGGGGTAGCACAGGACAGTACAGCAAAGGCTGTCCAAGTCCTCTTTGTCAGGACCAGATTCCCCTGGAAACGGGAAATCCGGCTGAGGTTCTGAAGATGTAGCAGTCCGCAAGATTGTTTCCAATTCATGATGCACCATGGCCAAATGGTGGTGGATTAGTAGTGGCCAGATCCATAAGTCAATATAGTAACAGTAGAGTGAGAATTCATGATGTGGAAATAAAAAAGAAAAATATTCTACAAGTACTAAATAAGCAGCAAATAAATGACAAACAAGAGTTGTCAAAACACATTAGAATTAACAAAAAGTGCACAGGAGAATTGTAAGGAGAGAGAAAAAAAAAGCACAACTGCACACTAGAATGTCAAATTGAGAAGTGATGACAGTGCTCTACAGTATAAATTGAGAAAAGCTATTAAGTGATTGTAAATAAGGTATCATATCGGAATTTTATTTTCACCAAAAGCTACATGTATTTTATAAAATTATATACTTGTTATGAAATTTAAAATTATTTTTCACTCAAAAGTACAGAAACTTTGAAATACTATAGAAAATATAAATGCTGTACAGAATAACAAAAATTAAAAAAAAGCTCTACATGTTTGCAGTATAACAGAATGTTGTGAAATATGATTGTTTTAATACATTAATATTAACAAACAGTGACATTTTCCTTTTTTCAAATTGTGACAGTATATGTACAAGTTCATGTTATCAATACTGATATTCAGGTATAGTATGTTAAAGTAGGCTTTGGTAATTGTTGATTTATTTATTATCACAGTAATTAAAATTAGACATGTTAGCACTGAGATTTTATGGAGTTCTTAATTATTCATTGTCAGTATTAAGTTAGAATCTTCCCGAATGAAGCTTATACATAGATACTGTCCTATCAATTACACTGAATATACTGTTCCATGCCAAACTGTTCTTTAGTACAAGCTTACCTCTATTTGTTTTTTACAATAAAGATAATATTTAATGTGGTATGTTCACCTTGGCTTCAAGGTACTTGACAAAGCAATTAAACTACACGTGTTACTTTGATGGACAATGTAATCATTCAATTACTTAATTGTAATAAACGATTTTACACAGTTCATGTATGTATTTAATTACTGTTTCTATACTGTACTTATACTAATATTATAGAGACACTAGATGTTTGTAAGTGTTCAGCATCACAGCATTTTAGCCATGCATTTTCTACTGTCTCTTAGCTCAATTTGATACATCATTTCTCTGTTAAATGTATTAACTTAGTATTGTAATAAATGTATACTGTTTCACTGTTTAAAGTATTTATCCACTGTTACAGTAAGTAAATAAGCTATACATGTTACAAAACTCTTGGGTGTGAATATTTTGTGTCACAATTGTAAAAAGTAGTTAATTTCATGTGAAATTTGGGGAAAAACGAAATAATCGAGTTTAACGTTAACAACTGCAAACAGTGTTTATGAAACACCTATGCCACATTAATGTTATACTATATGTTTAAGTCCCCACAATTTAATGATGTAATGCCTTTCCACAAAATTGAGGTTGACTTATATAACAATTACCTTTGACCTTCAAAGGTTAACCAGATCTAAATCTTTTTTAGGTATTACCTGTGTTATAAGTTTGGTCAAAATCCATCCATCCAATCTTGAAATATCCTGTCAACAAGATTCAGAATAGATAGGGGCAAATAAAAGCCCCACTTTGCAATGCTTTGCAGTGAGAGCACAAAAACCTTAATATGTTTATAGAAAAATAACTGGAAGCAGCACAGCACTTTTGCTGCAGTGTATTACTGGTAACCCACCTCTTCAGTTCAAACTTAATACATGTTCTTCTCATGCACCAGGCAAGTTTTCTATCATCTGAGCTAAAGAGTTAACCCCTATAAACTATTAATAAGGTACTTTTAAAAAAAATGAAATGATATGGCTACTATAAACACAGTGCTTGTGAAATATAACAATAAAACTTTAATATTCATGATGTGCTGTTTAAAACTATGAATCACCTAGCTGGTGGTAATTATTGGTAGATGTCAGTAAACATATAAATAAGCACCATATTTTTATATTTCTAACTAGAAACTCTTTTGATGGACCACTTATTCTTTAATTTACCAGGTCTGCTATTGTCAAAAATAAGTTGTTGTTTTTGGCATAGTTCATTTACTTATAATTATTCTGTTTTGATATTATATCTTCATATTTTATTTATGCCTATTAAAATTTTCTAGATTTCATCAATACCTGCTGAAAGTATCAAACATTAAAATATTTCCACAGCCATAACTGACATTCACTGTGTTACACTGAAGAAAGAAAAGCAATACCTATCAGTTTGCTAGTATCTATGAAAAATAATTACAGCAATAGATAAACATTTTACACAAGGAAATATTATCCTTCAATGGAAATACGTGACTTTATCATTGATATCTTAATGTGCCTATGCAATAAGTAAATTGACAAGGAAATGACACCCCTTGTATCCTCACAGTATCACTTATAACAAAGGGCTTATAATGACACTTTTAAGGACAAGCTCAGCTTTAGTACAGCTATATGTCAATGTGGAACTTACTGTTAGGAACAATGTAGTATCATTAGTTTTTTCAGATGTAGGCATCTGTTGGAAATAATCATCCATACATACCATCCATTATCACTACCATACACTAATCACTTTAATACATTACATATATATATATATATATCAACAACCATACACTACTTTTCATATGAGCAAGCTTCTCTTCCTAGGCTGCAACACAGTACAAATTCTATCATGTACTTTACAAAAGCCTGTTATTAGTAGTTCCAAAAGGGTTTACTATATTAATTTAAAATGAAATGTTGTAAAATACTGATTTTGCCACTCAGCACTTACATGTCATTTGTGCAGGATACATAAATTGTGTCTTGTGTTATGTTTCAATAAACAGTTGTTTGAAATTCAGAAAATATCTTTATTGTATTGAGCTAGTCAAAGTTATTATTATACATTGTTGATGTCCAGTGCTGCATGTAAACGGGAATTATCACACTATGTAAAATTTGAGAGTAGCTTATCTTGCTAATGAATAAGTAAATAAAAAGAAAATATTGTATTTTACAAGTATCGACCTATTATTTCAAATTTTTTCTTATTAGGGGTTAATCAAACTTATGATGTGTTTAGGTCTTATCTTTCAAAAAACACTGACCCTTTTTTTTATTATTATTTAACAGATTTTATTCAGTTACAGTACTTACCATTTTGTTGGTCTACTGTGACTGATCCAATTAATGTGCAGTACATTTTACTTTTCTTCATTTTGTCCATCAGTCTTCTCGCAGCATTCAGAACTTGTTCTTTTAACATTACTCTAAAAAATTAAAAACATAAGAATGAATCAGATAACAGGATATTCAATTACTCAGTCCAACAAAGATATCAGTTAATATTGTTTTATTTACATTTCATGATGTATAAACATTTTGAGATTAAAATTTAGATTGCTCTTGCCATGATTTCCAAATGGATTAATAAATTAAATAATCAAAGCTATTTTTTACAATAGTCACTTCATCAGAAAAACTATTCCCAAATGATTAGCTTTAAGAAAGAATTAATTCAAGCTATAACAGAATGAAGATATGTGTTCTTTAAAATTGTTTTTGGATATAATATTTGAATAGTTAACCAAAAAAAAGATTTGATCTACTTATTAAACAACAAACTTATTTCACACTATGTGATAAATGATAAAAATCATTGTAATAACTGTAAAGCAAATATATTTGGCTGATAAAAAATATTTTTACCCTTTTCAAAGAAAATTATTGTGCCTAAAGCTGGTTTGGATGATAAAGTACAGAATACAGGAAAGCTGGGAATTAAGTGCAAAATGATTAAACTTATCACTTCTTCAGATAAAGGAAGAGGAGTAACAGGTAGTATTCTTTCATATTTTTTCATTATTATTATGCTTATCTTTTATATACTTTTTACCTGTGTCATTTAGTTGAGCTGTGGCTTGAGTTTTGTTTATGCATGGTGCTAACCCATAGTGAGACAAAATGAGTGACACTGAGATCTTTGTCAGTCTCGCACTTTATGTAAATAAGTTGATCAAGTGTTTTGTCAATAGCTAATAACTGTGTCATGTTGAATTGTGGTCTCATTTTTTGTAGTAAATAAAAAGAGAACTGAAGATTGATAAGTGAGAGACTCAAGAATGTGGAGTTTTAGGTTGGAGACTCCTTGAAATTTAGTCAGAATTTGTGTGTATTTTCAGTTATAATTAATGAAAGTTTGAAAGTGTTCTATCGTAAAGTAGATTTTGCAATAGTTTATGGAGTCAGGTTTTTTTCTTTCTGGTTCTTTTTCCTATCTTCTGTGTCAAAGTTATATAGTTTATTTACAAGTTTGAAGTTCAGTTGCATTATTTGTAAAAGCACAGGCATAGCATTTTCAAACTGTGAATATATTCTGTTTAATTTGTGAAAGTTCTAATAAATATTCTTTCTTTCAGAATCCTAGTGCTAACACTTTCATCATTATCATTACTGTACAATGCAATATTCATTACAATATTAATTTGAATTTAACACATATGAAGAAAAAGAAGCAGGCTTACTATTAAATTCTCATTTACAAGAAAGTAATGAATTTAGCTGTCTTTATTCAGTCTTTTGTTGCATTATTTTCCTATGTGCTTTGCATCTGTCAATTATGAGATAAAGTCCATACTGAAAAAAAAGTATTTCTTTCAAATTAAAAGATATTTAATTTTAAATCTAAAAGTTTACATTGATGAAAAAAATCTGCATGATAAAGTTCTACATCTGACCTGCATTTTGATATATTAATAAAGCATGATGAATCCAGTGGTTGGTGATCCCATAATACTGTTCTATAAGCAGGAAACTTTATTGGAATGATCAAAGTTTCTTCTGACATGGCACTGCAAAATTCATTTTACCAGATTATGTGTGTATAGGGTAACCCTTAACAGGAAAGGAACATTTAATTTTAAAGATTATATCTATATAGTACTATAAAAAATGGTATGTATTGAATGATGAAAAAACATGAAAAATAAAAGTGATTTTTCTAAAAAGTAAATTTGATAAGTCAATGAAAAATGTACACAAAAAATATCACTCAAACCTAATTCCAATTTTTGTGAGTCCATTTTAAATAAAGAAAATATATACGACAATAATTATTTGAGACTAATTACATTAGTATTAAATTGAAGACACACACATTACCAAGAAAAAACACAAATCAATTTCCTTTAAATTATGCAGCAATGAAAAAATACAACAGGGTACCATATAAAGATCACCAACATTAAAACAAGTTTTAGAAAAAGCATATCTTATCAATCTACCATATTTCTTACTGCACTACTTTTAAATTTTTGACTCTAATAATACTTTGTACACCTCTTGTCCTATCAACTAAAAAAAAAATTGACCATTGTATATTATATAAATATCATTCCTTCTAGTAATGCATACATTTAAACACATGATATATGACAAGAACATTTCATCATTATATTTTTAACGCTTTGACATGTGCTCTTGAGCCAATGCAGTAACACATGGTCTGACACCTGCTTCTGAAAAAAAGTGACCGCGTATGTTAGGTGGTCTGAGAGAGAGAGAGAGCTCTACCTAAGTGAACACAGAGAATCACAAACACTTGAAACAATTCACATTCTATAACACTGTCCGAGACGCGCGAGAGTTTGGTTAATTTTGGAGATAGACTAAATAACGTACTTACATTATAATATTACATAAATTTAGTTTTTACTAACATTATCATTTAAGTTTAAACCCTTTCCAAAGTTTCTATTCAGCTTTCAAGTTCTACACTGTTTCTTTTTCAAGTTTTTTTACTTTTACTGGAATTAAGTGGAAAACAACATCAAATTTATCCCATTTAACTTTATTTATGGCATTAATCAAACCCACGCCATCTTATACCTGTAACTTCACATTACTAAAACTTATTATTACTAATAACATTAAACATAATAACGTAAACTTACCTCACTACTGTAAGTATACTATAAATTTAACTTCATAAGTTTGTTAAATTTATGCAAAATAACAAAATAAAATAAAGCCTACCGCCACTTCAGTTAAATATTCCGTTACGCCACCTACCTACAATTATCGTGAACTGAAAAACTCGGGCCAATCTGTCAACGAAGAAATTCGTGACTTAAAAACTGCTTATAATAAATCACAATAAATATCAAAATAACTTTAAAAGTAACGTAAATTAGTGATAAAAATGAGTTTGCAAGTAGTTGTTTATATATATATATATATATATATGTATACTTAAACTACATATATAGTATAGCGATAATTTTCAACTATTAATATTTGAGTCTATAATTGACAAAACGCTGTAAATCAACAAGAAAACAATATCGATAATACACGTAACAACAACTTAATTAAATGTACAGAATTTACAAACACAAAATTAAAATTCAACAAAATCTCTTAATTTTACGGGACGTATCTTCTTCCGTACTGGTCTCCGTCTCATTGGCTTCTGCTTCACGTGGAGTTCATCTGCTCCATCAGAAAATGTCCTATTATCAGTAACAGTCACATCAGTCGTAGTAACTTCATTAAGGGCTTCACTGTTTCCCTTCTGAAAACCGGGTAGAGTTTCTTCTTCGACAGTGGCTTTTTAGGTGACACATCTTCAGCAGCGTCATTTGTTCCTTTGTTCACTTCGTTCCAACTGAAATGTCCTGGACCGTGATAACACCAAAGCCTGTCGGCATGCACCACTTTTGGCTTATCTCGCCGACCACATTTTATCCA